TATATATATATATATATATATATATATATATACATATTTGTGATAATATTTTAAGAATTTGCTTTGGCTTTAGTACAACATCAACACAAAAGCCAATTCTAGAAATACATTACATTTATAATATATACACTTTTGTTAAAAAAAGATTGATTTTTTTTTAATTATTCTTTTGTTCAGCAAGGATGCATTAAATTGATCAAGAGTGACATTTAAGGCATTTACAAAATTACAAAAGATTTCTATTTCAAATAAATGCTGTTCTTTGAAATGACCATTAATCAACACCTACAATTATGTTTCAGTTTCCACAAAAATCTGAGCAGCAAATGAGCACATTAGAATGATTTCTGAAGGATCATGTGACACTGAAGACAACTCAGCTTTACCATCGCAGGAATAAACTACATTTTAAAATATATTTTATAAATTATTATAAATTATAAATGCATGTATAAAAGACTATAAAATATATTTTTAAGTGTATCATATATTTATAATGATGTAAATGATGATAATGCATCTGAAGGAATCATAAAGCAAATGTAAAGCATCAAAGACGTAGGTGAGAAGAGCCTTTTTGTTGACTTAAGAATTAGACTGGCTGATCCAGCACTTACCAACAAGAGTCCTTTTCCTAGTTCGGACACCCACACAATCAGCAGCGCATGATGAGAATTTGGACCAGGTGGTCAGCTGGCAGTCATCCTGGCATGGAAGCTGGCAGGACTGAGTGAGTTGAGGCATAGGACCTGCAAACTTAAGACAGGCCGCAACGTCTGCAGGTCCACCATCCAACTTTTTACACGATACGGCTGAGGGAGAAAAGAAGAAAGAGATCAGAAACCAATTGTACTACCAGAAAAAGAAACGGGAGAAAAGGGAGAACACTTCTCCTAGTTAATACTGATAAATATCAGTCCACTCACACCTATAAAGTCACACACATTGAATAAAGATAAGCATCTTGTGATGGATTACACGAGAGGGCGGTTAAATGCCTATTGACTCGAGTAGCCGGACGGATCAAGATTTATATCATTGAATGAGGGTGAAAGCTATTGTATTGGATTGCTTTTTCAGACATGCCAGTGTATTAAGGGATACTATTACGGGTAATGCTTGTTAATGCGAGCAGTGCTGAGAAGTTGATTTATAAAAAAGCTTTTTGAGGTACTATGTGATTTTAAGAACCTGCAGACTGTACTTTTTCTTTCACTGCCCACACCATCCATTTTTAGAAGCAAGATACTGCATTTCTTATTTAATATAGTCTAAAATTTTAACCCAAGTGAAAGGTTCCCACATAAAAATGCTTTTATGTCAGTGGAGCCTTCCATTTGCGGTAAATGCATCTCTGTCAGTGATATAGTATCAAAAATGACTGTCTTCAGGCGTATATAACACAAGACTCACATCTTTCATTTTCAGATATGTTTTTTCAATCACACCACACTAATGGCCTGAATCTGAACCCAGAAAGGGTTTACTGGTAAGACTCAGAGCAAAGGATATCCGCTTATGACTGCTTCAGACAGTTTCCCGAATCTCTGAAAGAACATTTGGTTTAAATCCAGAAGCGTTTACACAGCCCTTTGATGGTCACAGGTCGAATTACTACCAATCTCATGCATTTATCACATGTTTAACAGTCTCCCCAGCTACAGTGTGAAGCACTGCAACAAACAACTATAAAGTTTTATTGACATTGAAGGATGTTGCATCTCATTTTATGTTGATGATGAGGGTTTTTTTGTACCTCTAGCCTGTAGTCCTGGTCCACAGATCTCTTGTGCTCCAGGACTGTCCTGACGAATGGTCCAGGGCACCAACTGACACCTGCGCCACTTGTGGGTTTTCCACCTATAGCGCAAAAGCAATTTATATATATATATATATATATATATATATATATATAAAACTTAAAACAGGCCTCTCTCTCACTCTCTCATTTTAGTCCAGGAATTTCATACAATTTCTGTACTATAATTGCAAACAGAGGTATTATGTTCACCTGTAGCCTGGACAAAAAGATGAGGCATCACATTCCTTCTCCTGGAAGAGCACTTCTGGACAGTCTTGGCCCCCGTTAGCTGGAAGCTGAATGATAATGCGTTTCCTTGATTGCTTCTTTTTGATGGCACCACCTGGATATACACAAGAGGATGGACAGAAAATATGAAATTGCCATGAATAAATAGCAAATAAAAAGCAAAAACACCATTCCTGCTCACAAATCTAATCAGTACACAAATCTCTGTATGACTGTGTTGCATTTAACAAGGTTTTTATCCAACTGTAGCTCTTTATATGTCTGAAAATGTCAGTACATCCCAACTACCATGAGCTTTATGGTTTAATGACTTCCATATTAAGTTCAATTGAGAAATTAAATGATGATAATAAAGCTACAATTCTCAGCATTTTATTTTTGATAAACTCGGTTCAGTGTTTCAAACTCTGACTGAAGTTCTCCACCGGGGGAAGGCATCTATAAATATGTGCATATGATTATTCATTATTTTCATACCGTTTTCTCACTGTTCTTCCACAAAGCTCAAACTTTGAGGGTAGTTCTCTTTGTAAAAATTACATACATACAATATTTACTGTAAATGTAACAAGTACTACAAAAAAGAAAATTAACGAGGGAAGTGAAAATCTGCTCAGTGTTCAGTGAAGAAGAAACCATCAAGCAGATGGTCTTTAAAAAGGCAATATTTTATACAAAACACATTGGAGTGTGACATTCACTTGAGAAAAAAAAAAAAGATTTTAATAAGAAATGCAATGCTTATTTGCTTCATATAACAAATGGCTCAGATATTGGCAGCTTCTTTTAATATTTGTTCTGGTTCCTATAGGCCGAGTTGCCAAGCAACAATTCCTTTTTATAGTATTGATACTAGCATGCTATTGTGGGAACAAATAATCTGTTTCTAAACACTTCTGATAGAAGGCTGAAAGTTACCAATATTTCTTTATGCATTGATGTCAGTAAACTTCAGCCTTCGAGAAACATTTTTTTCTAGTTTTACAGTATATTCAAGTTTTGAATATAGTGTGTGTAAAGAAGTACTGTACCTGTCTGGCAAGAGGAAGGGCAAGGTGTCCAATCACTGTAAGGAGTGACAATGCAGTCTCTCTTGCAGGGCAGAAGACACGGCCTTACAGTCTCTGGACGCAGACTCTCTGGACACCTGCATAAAAAACAAACAAACAGTAAAACAGGATGTACAGATGCTCAGATTTTCTTTGGAAGAAGCACATCTTTGGATCATGTTAAATCACGCTGGAGAACAAGATGACACAAGTTTGACACAAACTTTATGACGCTTAAAGCTAAAGGAAAACAAACCAAATATTAGACATTCTGAAAATAACGTTCATTTTTAAAATTTAAACCTTACATGCTATGCTGTTAATATATTTAGCATTGAAAAATAGAATCATTAAATAAATTATAAATAAACTATTACAATTAAATTAATTAATTTGAATGAATTTAATTATTTTTATAAATTAAATAACTTATTTAAAATGCAAAATAGAATTAAATTAGTTGGATGTCACTGTGTACATGTACTTATATATTGTATGCACACTACCTTTCAAATGTTTGGGGTTATTACATTTTTTAAATGAATTTAATTCATATTTTTATTCATCAAGGATGCATTAAATTGATCAAACATTACAGTAAAGAAAATGATACATTTCCAAAAGGTTTTTATATCAAAGGCTTTTCTTTTGAAGTTTATATTTATCAAAAAATGTATTGTGGTTTCCACAAAAATATTAAGCAGCCAAATTAATAATAATATTTCTTGAGCAGCAAATGAGAATATTACAATGATTTCTGAAGGATCATGTGACACTAAAGACTGGAGTAATGGCTGTTAAAAATGCAGTTTTGCCATCACAAGAATAAATTACATTTTAAAACATATTCAAATTTTTATATATAATTTTAAACTATAATATTTCACAATACTTAACTGTATTTTTATCAAATAAATGCAGCCTTGAAGATGAAGTTCTTTCAAAAACATAAAGAAGAAAATCTTTTGAACAGTAGTGTATACATAAACAGCAGAATGTAAATGTAATTTCACCCTCAAATATTAAATTTTCGTCTTTATTATATAGCTCTGCACATACTACACTTCTTTCTCCTTCCTCTCTCTCTATCCCTGCATCATTCCAATATCCTTGCTTCTTTCACATGAAATCCCATAACCATCAGCATGTGGCTCACGTGTGTATATCTGCGTGTGTGTATATGAATGTGTAGATCAGTGGGTAAAGCCCAGCACATGAATAACCCCGGGAAGAAAGCGGGACTCATTTCCATTGCCAGCATGGGGTCCCTGTTTCTACAGCCACTGACAGAATAATGCCACTATTAAATTGAATAAATAAACGGATCATTTATTTTCCCAGTAGACGCCTTCGGGGAAAGACCAGATTCAGATATTACTTAAACTACCGGCTGAGACCTCATCAACTTAAAGTCTCTATCGGTCAATAAAGATCAAGCACCAGACATCGAGATTGAGTTTAATAAACAGAATACATAACCTGCTTCAATATCTGCTCCAACACATGCCAAGAAAGATAAATAAATAATAAAAGATCTGGGCTATTCACTTATATTTCCTTAAAACAACAACACAGACAAAGAAATCAACTGAATAATGGATTGAATTGCATGCATTTTATTTATGCCCAGCATAAATGAAATCAATGCAATTTATAGGAACACATTTAAAAACACGTACTTTTTAGGTGGCACCTGGCCCACATTGACCCGGACACAAATGACTTTACGCGTCTGCATTCCAACCGAGCAGAACGCCTCATTAGTGCCGACTCCTGCTCCGGTGCGGCTGAGCGAGCTGTTGGCAGACGGAACGGAGGTGTCCTCTATGCACTGACCCCAGGGCCCCGTCTGCCAGTGGTACACAGTGCAGGGATGATCATTGCAGTTGCGGACCTCCTGCAAGGCGCTGCTGTTGGGGCACTGACCTCCACCTAAAAGATAAAAAGGATCAGGAAGGTGTTGCAATACTGGGTAAATCATAAACCCAAACCGTAAAAAAAAAATACAAAATTGACCTGGTATTTGACCATTTTGTACATTATTTAGGCGAAATAGTAAATATTGGTTATATAATATGCATAGAAAGTTAGCATCTACAATAAATATTACAAAGCCTACAGTTTCAGTACTGGCTTCTAACTGGTTAATACAACATTCCAGTTGTGCTAAAATCCAAATCTGAAACAGATACGACGTGAGACCTATTCATCATATCGCTGTCAGCTTCCATAGCAGATCATTATTTTTGTTGCATAGCAACATACGGATTTGCCAGGTAGCATAATTTCTAGCAGACCAAAAATAACTTAATGAATTTGCTTAATAAAGTCCTTTTCAATTACAATGTTGTGACTGTATTCGTAATATTATTAATATCATTTGTATTATTAGTACCCCATTACTTAACTAAATGGCCTAATTTAATAGTATTAATATAAGTTATAATATAATAATTATATAATATATAATAAGTATCACTTTTTATTTCTCCTCTTTCCTATTACTTGTTTAGCTTCTGTTTCAGTTTTTATAACCATTTCTTACTATGTGTAATTAAGTTGTTGTTTTTTACCATGTGTGTTTGGCAGTGTTACTTTTTAGGATTACTGATTGTCATCTGATTTGTATTATTTGTATTTGTTATTTATTTTCATTTTAGTTAAATTATGTGACCCTTTGCTGTGACACTCATATATTTAACTCAGGTGCTGTCCATTTCTTCTGATCATCCTTGAGATGGTTCTACACCTTCATTTGAGTCCAGCTGTGTTTGATTATACTGATTGGACTTGATTAGGAAAGCCACACAACTGTCTATATAAGACCTGCTGTGTGTACATTAATGAGGAAAAAAATTAACTTAAATGATTTTAGCAAATGGCTGCAATATAACAAAGAGTGAAAAATTTAAAGGGGTCTGAATACTTTCCGTACCCACTGTATGTGTAAGTGGGTTGTTGTTTTTAGGTTTGGCAGTGTTGTTTTTTGGGATTACTGATGGACTACTGTCATTTGATTTGTATTATTTGTATTTGTTATTTATTTTCATTTTAGTTAAATTATGTCTGAATTTATTGTCTGTATAGGTCTTTTATTAAGTTTTTAGTTTTGTTTAATTTGAGTTATTTTAATACTTCAACAAACTAAATAGAAATAATATATATTGAATTTATAAATGTGTATATATTTATATGTATGTGTGTGTGGTTGTACATACACATGTAGTTGTTTGTTTTGGTGTTTGGCTTAGTGTTATGTTAGAATCATTATTATACTCTTATACCTTTTGCTCTTTAATACTTTGAATTGTTTCCAGCTTTATTTTTTTGTTTTTCATTTAAATGTTAAGTTTTGAAATTTTGTTGTATGCATTTGTCATTTTTATTTAATCTCTTTATTTTTAAAATGTGTATAGGTAGTATTTATAAAGTTTTAGCTTTTAGTTTTGGATCTGTTTTTAGTTGTTTTAATATTACAATTGATTGCTTCTGTTGTCCTCATTTGTAAGTCGCTTTGGATAAAAGCGTCTGATAAATGACTAAATAAATATATCAAGCAATGGTTCACCCCAGAAAATTAAAATTTGCTCAGGATGAGAATTTAAACTCCCAATAGTCCACAAGTACTCCACATGACTCCAGCCCATCAATGTCTTGTGAAGTAAAAAACTGTGTTTGTCCAGTTTAATCCATAATAATGCTATATATAAAGCTAATATTCCTCCAATAAAAAGTCCATCTCCTGTTGTCTTTCTACATCAAAATCCACCCACAAATTTATTTTGGACTCTTTCTGCTTGTTAACGATGCTAAATCTGTGCATATTTCACTGCAGAAAGCTTTATTATGGATAGAGGACTATTTTGGATGGAAACAGCAGTTCGAAGTTTAAAACGTCTAGAACGTTTTTGGTGAGCAAGTGATGTAATGCTAAAATTCTCCAAATCCATTATGATCCAAATCCAAACTCATCTACATCTTGGATGACATTAGGGTGAGAAAATTTTCAGAAAAAAAAGGAAGAATAGTACATAAAACATCTAGAAATTGAAATATGTAGATGAAATATGAGTAGAGTCTAATGCATGAGTCAACAGTCAACCATGACTGTTAGGATAAGAGCTGCTTCTAGATTTATTTACCAGGCTTTGCTTGTAGTCACACGCAAAGCACCAGAGTCCCCACGGAGCGGTCAGCCATTATCTCAATGGTGCGCATTAACAACCGCACACCGATCAATGAGACAATGTTAAACCGGTGAATGAGAAAAATGGACAAACAATGCATCAAGCAGCGCTCCTTGTTCAAGAGCAGCATAAATAATGAATAATTGACTCATCCTTTGTAGCAATGCAGGACACAGTCCTTCAGTATCTAATTTATTAAAAGGTTATCGACTATTATCACACACTTCATTAGACATGTGAGAACCATTAGAAAACACTTGCTGTTAGCAGCACAGTCACAATAATGGCCATGGAAGAGAGAAAAAACTATTTACATTTACCAAAGGAGGGTTATTTGACTTCCAAAGCATCACATAGTGGTTCAGGGCATGCCAGGACAATGCATTAGCAGAGTTTCAAAAAGCTGCACCAGAATCACATTGTTTCAAATGGGGATTAACACTCCCTCCGTTTATTTATTGACCTGTGACTCAGATGAAGACTAATCCTTTGTACAATTACAAAAGTGAGTCCACGCACAGCTCAGAGTAATTGCATGTTCTTGGTCCATCTCTGCACCATTAAGAGCTGCAGTTCATATTGCAGCTCCAGTCATCTACGTTTAGTTTTGTGTTAAGCTTCTCTTGATGTAGTACGCAGTGCTGTCTGCATGACATCCTCAAGAAGCGGTGCATTTGAAATTGTCAAGCCCTCCATTTAGAAAGAGCAAATATGTGTTACATATCTGACCATGCCTTAAAGTGTAGAATCATAAATATTTTAACATTCCATTAAAATTGTATCCTTTTTATATACACTAGGCTGTCAGTGGTGAAAGAGGTTTTTCAAGGCCCTGAACAAGGGTCACTGACTGGTTTGCCACTGAAATGATGCTGGTGGTGCTCAGTCTGGGGATCTGTAAACCTCTAGAATAGTTGCAAAGAAGGTCAAGCACACATCGTGTCACGAATGAACTGAATGCTGATGGAATTTCAACTAATGTTATTTTACTACATTACAACATTCTCAAAAATAAGACTTACGAGTTTGAGACCAAATTATTACATAATTTTATATTAGACACGCAAGGAACATAAAATGGCTCTGCTTAACTGTAAATTATTTTCCATATTAGCTGTACAGTATTGTTCAAAAGTTTGGGGTTGGTAAGACTTTTTTTCTCTGTTTTTGAAAGAAGTCTCATTCTCACCAAGCTTGATCAAAATGGTATTTATTTTATTAAATAAATCATAAAGTATTATTAGCGGGCGAGATCCCAATTCGTCAGTCACTGACGTAACGTTGAACGTGACTGACTGAATGGGAACTGAAAATAACTGTGTTCTATTGATATATATATTTTAAAATGTAATGTATTCCTATGATGGCAAAGCTGAATTTTCAGCAGCCATTACTCAAGTCTTCAGTGTCACATGATCCTTTAGAAATAATTTTTATGGTTCTCAAGAAACAGTATTATAAACGTATTATTAATATTGAAAACAGTTTTTTTATTTTGTGTCAAGTCAATTTAATGCATATTTGCTCAATAAAAGTATTAAAATTCTCAACAAAAAAAAGATAAAAAAAATGAATGAATGAATCTAAAAGTAGAGTACAAACCTTTTATTTTAATGGAAATTAATTAGTATATGACTTTTTACAGTAAACATCGTCCCAAATCAGTTTTACCATTCTATTAGAAATTACTTATTTCTTACTCTTAAAAACTGGGCTGTCAACTGAATCAAATAATCATGAATAATATGTCTTTAAAAGGCTAAATAAACTATCAAATTGAGAAAATCTGATAACAAATATTACATCCCACATATTCAATTAATGTTAACATGAACCAAATTACTTAAATTCAATTACTAAGTATAATCTTAAGTTAACACATTTTCTTTGAAAAAAATAAAATATTTAAAAAAATAAATAATAATAACAACAATAATACAAATATTTACCCCCCCCCCCTTTCCCCAATTTGAAAACCTATACTCTAGGAGGCTCTCACAGACTACAACTTTAATAGACTAAAATGAGGCAACTAGAGTGTGGGATTGTACATTTCTGCTCATTTTGAGGCAGCTAGGTCCTACTTCGAGAAGCTTAGCTACATAGACAGCAATTGACCAATGCTTCATACTATTCTCTCCATCCCCTCACACAGAGGCAGATGACAAGCAGAACAGGATCTACTAAACTTCATGCTGCTGCAGCACACACCTGCTTTCTCAGACGCTTGTCATCAATTCGGTCCACTGTCTCCTGAATCGTTTGAAGACTAATAATCCAAGTACCGCAGCACGTAGCACAATTTGCCACAGGGCAGAAAGCATCATTGTGCATATTTTGTGCAATTTGTGCTAAAACTGTAATATATAAAGCAACCGCACTACACAGATGTACCAAACACACTACCTTTGATTCTGGCACTAGCATGACCGTAAAATGATGTGATGTTAAAGCAAACCAAGCCGATTTGCTCTCAGTCAGCAGTGCTGTGCAAGTCCTGTTCCCTCAAGCTGCATATTTGTGGAAATGGATTTCTGGCCGGTGAGTGGTGGAGGGAAGGAAGAGGTTTTAGCCCAAAGCAACCACTTATCCATCAGTCTATTACACATCAGATACACACTTACATCCTGAGCTCACCTGAGGTCTGGATCACTTAATGCTCAGAGACCTTCATTACCTTGTGATGGGCTTTTTTTTTTGCGCTCACATGGAAGAATGTTAAACTAACATAAGGGGGCAAGTGCGATAAGATATTTGCAATCTGCTCATGTCTACTTGAGCATACAAATCCACATAAGCAGAAAAAAGATAGTGATTGATTATATCTAAACAAGCAGGAATTTTGGAGAGACCCTGGCAAAACAGTCTAGTTTTGGACTAAGGGCTATAATGCTAAATACTTTTAGCAGCAGGATGCTCAGAGGAAAAGAAAGCATATGATACACACAGGGCATCAAGTAAAGCAATGCCACATACTGAACCACAAAAAATGGTGGATTTAGGCTGAAAAATATCGACTCCACTGCAGCCGCTGCTACCTGCTTATAAAATTGCTGAATTTAATTACTTTAAATGTTAAACATATTCTAAGTAAAACTGCAGATACTTTATTTTAACTGCTTGTGTAAAATAACATGATATCACAAGTATCCTACACTCTCAGAAATAAAGGTACAAATGGTAGACCTTTGTACTTAAAGAGTCCATAGTGGTACCTTAGAGGTACATATTAGAACCTAAAGTGTACATATTAGTGCCTAAAAGGTACAAAGGTGTACCTTTTGAAAAGTACTGCTGCCCCAGTGACAGCTTTTGTACCTTTTTCTCTTAAAGTAGATATGTATGATTTAATCGTTACGAATTTGAATCGTTATAACTATTGCTGCACCAAAAGAAGTTCTTTAAGCTCTTAAGCAATTAATTTAAATTTTAAAAAGCCAAAATACACAACCATTCAAAAGTTTTGGGTCAGTAATGAAATGAATACCTTTATTCAGCAAGGATGCATTAAAATGATCAAAAGTGACAGTAAAGATATTTGTAATCTTACAAAAGATTTATGTCAAATAAATACTGTTCTTCTGAACTTACTATTCATTAAAGATTAACGATAAGAAATTTCTTGAACATGAAATCTGCATATTAGAATTAAAAAAAAAATCGTACTACCGCAAAGTACTACCTGTACTCAAGTACTACCTGACTCATAAACTCCAGACACTTTATTTTCATTGTTTGTTATAATACATTATTGATGAATATTATATGTTGGAATTGATTATTTTGAATTATGAATATTATTATTATTTATTTATTTTAACTTCTCACAGTTGATACAAAAGGAGCCAGTCATCATGCGTAATTAATTTGCTTTTTCAATTACTTTTACAGGTTTATTACAGGTTATTACAGGTTTTCAATACTCATACTACTCATAAACAAGACTGCAAAGTGCTGTTTGTTTGTGAGCAGGCAATGCAGCAACATAGTAAGGTACATCATTGTTCAGCTCAGTGGAAATCCAGTTCTGAGAGGTGTTTGAAGATCCTCTGCCCAAACACCAGCTCAACTCACACCATTTTAGTGGGTATAAGAGTGGTTTGATAATAGTAAAAACCCTACCGTCCCCAGCGTTGTAGGCCAGAATGGAGCGTGATCTGGTTTGCTTGCCCTCCGAGTTCTTCCCTGAGCAGGTATTGGAGCACAGAGACCATGAAGTCCAGGGACTGAGCACACAGTCTTTGGGGCAGGGCACCTCGCACAGCACAGGCATGGGAAGGATGGCGTCCCGGCACAGTTGCCTATCCACGTATTCACCTGAGAACAACAAAACACGGGGTCTGTTATATTCTCACATCCTAAATAAGGATCCCGGAAAACCACCAAACATTTGAGTATGAAAGGGAAAACTCTAGCAAATTAAAAACTAATATCCACATAGAAATACACAAATGGGTTCCAAAAAGACAAAAGTCAAGCAAAGCGAAACCTCACTCATTTGATGCTGTGTTAAATTGTGTGAAGATTAATACACATCTCACTCAGTGCAAATAAATCTACCCACACAGAGAATTCACACTGTGCAAGTGATGCACCACCAAGTGCTGTCATCTCTACTCCATGCCAGACTGTGCACGGTACACAAACACTCAGTGAAAACCACCCATTTACACATTAACACTGCATACAGTATACAGTATGTATGCATAAACCGAAACATTGATAAAATTCAAAGGGCCCAAGACAAAATTTGGATGGGCATGTTCCCAATGTCCCCTATAACATATAAGACCTTAGTGGGCCCCTATTATCATAGGGACAGGACAACACTCTCAGTTGTGTCCCTTTTACTAACGACCCATTGCTAATTCCTAGAATAAAAATCTCCAAGGACAAGGGTAAATTGCATAAAGAAGCCCTTTGCATAGTTATGGCACGCATTAAGCCCAAAAGTTTAACAGTAGAATGTAGTTCAGTAGACTTTAATGTGCTTCTTGCACATAAATTTTAGATTACTCTTTCAATGTCAAACAGGATGTGACAGCTGTGCACCCAAGAGGGACGATGATCCGGCGATATTTGCAATCACACAATCACATGTGATTATACGTAAATGCTGTCCAAGAAAAACAACCAATGCAGCAATTGCACCTACGTAACGTATATTGTGACATGTTTTTAGTGTATAACATTTAACTTAAATCTTTATGTCTTATACATGAAAGGATCAATATTTTTATTTTATTTTTTATAACAACAAAATTATGTATTATTTATTATTAAATTAGTTTAATTGTTTTAATAGCAACAATAAAACGAAGCAAAATCAAACAACAACAAATAATACAATCAAACAAAACAAAAAGAAAAGAAAAACAAACATAAAACAAAAAGAAAATCAAACAATCAAAAAACAAACAAGAAACAATCAAAACAAATCAGAGCAAAAAGAAAATCAAACTATCAAATCAAAGTAAAACAAGAAAAAACAAAACAACAAAACATACTTTGCTCACAGAGGTCATCTGAAAGACCTAGTTTTGGACACCAACCCCTCTGTGGACTGTGTACTAGCCGCTGTATCGATCGGTGAAACCCACTGAGTCAGATGACACAGCGGGACCCCATGGGACACAACAGATCTATTCTCATCAGCACCAGACAACAGGAATCAATAATTGAGAGAAGAGGGGAGGCACTAGGGAACAATGAGGATTGGTTGAGATTGGGAGTGGGAAAGAGTTAGATTTCCGCACACCGCTGATATTTATACACAGCAGTTCACGTCAAGAAAAAAAATAATCATTACAGTCCATTCAGATATTTATGTGCCTTTTTAGAAGTTTAAAGGGGTCATATGATGCGATTTCAAGTTTTCCTTTCTCTTTGGAGTGTTACAAGCTGATTGTGCATAGATAAGATCCCTGAAGTTGCAAAGACTAAAGTCTCAAAACCAAAGAGATATTCTTTATCAAAGTTAAGAATCTGCCACGCCCCCCTAAAACGGCTCGTTCTAACACGCCCCCACATATCTACCTCACTATGTGGAAATATTTGCATAATGCCGCCCAAATGTTCAAGCAAAGAAAGAAGGCGTGGTTTCAGTAACCGCAGTTAGTGTTGAAGCAGCCATGTCAGGGAGACGCTGTGTGTTTCTAGGCGAAAGCAAAATCACTTTATTTGGCCTTCCGAAAGTAGATGCATTTAGAAATCTTTAAGATTACTTACAACAGAACAGCAATGCATTTTATAGA